ACTTTCTATGTATGAATCCAACTCTCTGTCTCTCTTTCTCTCTATCTATATATACACACAACCATATGTCTCACTCCTTCGTGTTCCTTGTTTCTCTCCTTCTCTTTCTTTCTCTCTCTAACCTCCATCTCTCTTCTCTGTGTCCATGATCTTAGGTTAGGATTTGATCCAGAGGAGAAAGGAAGCAGCAGGTATGGTAACTCTTACTTACACGATGATCGCTGTTGTGATTCACATATTTTATGATTTTGTTTCTAATTTTAATTTTAGCTTTACAATCATGATATTGTGCATTGTGCATTCCTTCTTCATCGCATCTGGATATGTGCCATTTTCCTGTTTTTATTATTTGAAAATCACTTGGTGAGGAGGAGACATTGAACCTCTATGATTGTTGTGGTACGTATGATTCTATTTCTATAGATCGATCTTTATATTTTTATTTTTAGTGACTAAGCAAAAGAAGACCAGTTCCAATCATTTAAAAGAAGGCACATTATGCAAAAAGTTTTAAAATATGGCACATTAGGCAAAAAGTAAAAACCAGTAATTCCCCGTGCACATTATGTACTATTATCAATACTACACACTATCAATCAACAAGTTTTAAAATATGGCACATTATGCAAAAAGTAAAAACCAGTAATTCCTCGTGCTAATGGAGACTAAACTGAGTGTTGTTTAACTTTATACCTATTATGAGTTATGATACATTTTTCTATTAATAATGTTACTATTCAAAATGTTTGAGAGCAACTTCTTCAGGATGGATGTTGTGGATAAATGTTACCTGAATGGATTATTTGCATTGAAACTTGGCTAGTTTTTCAATGTTGTGTTGCCCCTGCATCTGCATACTTTCTCATTCTTGCCTTCTATTTTAGTTTATGTAATTCCTAGTGCCTTTACTATTTTAATGCAATCTTTTGTTTCAACAAGGATGCAGCTTTAGTTGTTCGTTATAGCTTATTACATAATTTTTATGTACTTTTTAGTATTTAGGTAGCCAACTGGTGGGCATACTATTGATCTCTACCTTGAAGTGAGTATAATTTTTTATTGCATTTATTAGGCAATTATAAAGATGGACCAAAGCGGATCTTCTTATCTGAAGAACCTTGGCAAGTGTTCAATCTTCGTAAACAACAAGGAAATAGTACCTAAACAGGTTATAAACCTTACTTCAAGTTGTTTGATTGAGGTATGTTTTTACCTTCCTTGGACACTAGACTAATCAATTTTATTTTTTATTTTATTTGCTCTACTTGCTGAATTTCTCGAATCTAGGTGCAAAATAGATTTCTCTTTTTGATGACTTGCTCCTCTCAATGCTCGACTTACCTGGTTTTTGGTGATTACATTATTTCTTTTTTCTTAAAATTAAAAACAATCTGAATGTCTAGATTATCAGCATCAGTCCTCTGTTGTCTTGGTGTTAAACCTTATTGATTATCTTTCCCATGCCTGCATTCATTGTTCACTTTAAAAAGTGCTTTAACTTTTGAAAGGGAAATGACCCAGCCGCAAGATAATTAAAACTGGGTGAAAGAGAAATGGTCATGTAACAAGAAGGCAAAATAAGGATCAAAATAAGCTTGGGGAGGTAGAATGGCAACTCGAATGCCATAGGGGGACGTCCAATCCAAGCTTTTTTTATGGCCTAGCTATGTCCTTACTGTTAGGTGTCCGTGATACCTAATCAAGATTGGTAAAACACGAAACACATAAGGACAACGCACAAGAAAGATAAATCACACGCACACACAAAGAACATGAAATCTATGTGATTTACCCCAAGCTAGGGCTACGTTCACAGATACTGCGATTTTCACTATAATCAAAAAAGTTAAAAGAGATTATAGTGATAGCCACCTCTTCTCAACTATAAATACATAGAAAATTAAGGCAATAGGTCACTAGCGCAGCAATGCCCCAACACACGATATATCAATTTTATGGTGTTATGAGGGATGCATATGCCCTTACAAGACTACTTATTCCAAATTAACTCTTTCACTTATTGTTATAATCATCCCACACAAAATATATGTGGAATCCTGTGTTAGTTACTGCAATTGGGGCACTTTCAGGTAAAAGGCCGTTCTATTTGAAACAAATCAAACTCAGTGTGAAGCAGTATGCTGATGCACCACCAAGGAAAGCCAAACCAGGACCAACAAAGTTCTGAATAGTGCAGTGTTTAATGATTGGGATGCTGTTTGAAGGTGCTTTTTTTTGTCACTTGCACTTTCCAGCGTCCTTGGTTTTACTGTATCTGTTGTTATTCTATCAGAATCTGTTTCTTGCTGTTAAGACTCGCTTCCACTCAGTTTAATATATATAATAGAAACACTTTGGCTTCTCTTATCTCTCATTTAATTGCACTGAGAAGTAGTGAAAAAAAATCAGACGTGTCGAAATGCTAGTTTTACCCTATTTTCACTAGTTGTGCATTGGAATGCGGTTGATAAAATGGATTGCTTTTCAGGGTAGCATCACTTGCTGCAATACGATATTTTTTTTATCAGAATTTTGACAGACGTTAGGGTATTAGGGCCAAATTGGGATCAATAACCTAATTGGGAGCAAAAAGTAAGGGTTAAAGTAATAGATCATTAATATTTTAGAACAAAATATAGTTTAAGGTGACTTAAAAGAGGATGATAAACTTGTGGAGGGCAGGGGCCAGCCATTTGAGTCCCTTCTGGGAGATTATCGAACCATGGGCCTGAGTATTAGTGAGTTAAAAATATAAAAAGTGCAATGCTGAAGACTCTTAAATTTACTCAGAATTAGTTGTTCTGATGTGTGGTTGGTCTGCTGAAATATTGTATGACTTAAAAATATGATGTTGTTTAGAATTTAGTTTGAGCTGATTCTTTGTACTTAATTTAAGTAATTGCGGCTTTTGTCTGTAAATAGGAATTTCTCGAAACGCTGAATTGGAGGTTCGGTTTTGGTTTTCTGATAAGCATGGGTTTGAGGTTGAGCTGCTGATCTTGAGATTGTGTCATTCCTTTTGTAGCATTTTTCCGGCATCTGCATGACGAACTTTTCAGTCGCTGGAATGGACCTACAAACCTGTCATTGCTTAATAATTAGAATTCAATAATTAACCATTGGGTGTTAGCTTGAATAGTCCAAATTTCACTGTATGTTATATTGTACCAATGGGACATTCGAAAGCTTATATCCAGTGACAACTTGATTTTTTCTGTGATATTTTTTGTGAGATGATATAAATGATTAACTCTTTTCAAAACTAGTATTGATTCTAAGAACAAATTTGAACACTCTTGTACCGCTATTGGAAAAGGTTTTTGGCAATCCAAGTAAGTCAATTAATGTGCTCTTTGTATCCATTTTTGTTTTGCATCCAGTTAGCCAACTAATATATTGATGTATATTTTTTGCAGGATGTTGAGGGGAGTAGTTGATATGATTGAGTGGAGTGATATTGAGAGTTAAATTCAGTTTTTTTTTTTTAGTACTTGAATCTATAGTATTTTGTATAATTACTTTAAGGATGGTTGATGGATATTTGTTTTGTTTATAGAAGTTTATATTTTGTATGCACATTTTTTTTTTTTTTTGAAGAAAGATAATTTTGTTGAGGGAAGTGATGGAAAATAATACACGTGTATTTAGAATTTTTGCAAATATCACTTTATATTTATTGTATATAATACTATTAATATATATATATATATATGAAACATAGGTTGCTAAAACATTGTAGGTATTTATTTATTTATATTTTTTTTTGCGACGACGGTAACAAGATGGTCGCTAATACATTGTAGGTATTTTTTTAATTTTTTTGCGACGGCAAAATATTAGTCGCGATAAGTAGATTAGGCGGTCGCAAATAGTTTGCGACTGCTATTTTGCGGTCGCAAAAAGTATTTGCCACCCCCACATTCGCGACCCCCATTTGCCGTCGCAAAAAGTCTTTTGCGACTGTTTTTTATTATTTGCGACGGTTTATAACGGTCGCAAAAAGTGGTTTTTTTAGTAGTGAATTATTTACTTATATTAAATATATATATATATATATTTTTTTTTCCGTACAAGGTGCGCCTCACTTTGGTGAAGCTTGCCCCTCGCCTTGCGCCTTGAGCCTTGAGCCTAGGCCCTAGGAGACCTTGGCGCCTTAGTGCGCCTATTGCCTTTAATAACACTCCTCCCAAGGGTGGGGGTTAACTGTTAGTGGTATGTACCTTTTCAGAAATTTTCTATATTAGGCTTATCTAGCTAATGGGGAGAACTTGGATGATTGCGGAAAGAAATTATTTATTAGCTTCCTTTGGGCTCATTTTGGGAGCTGTTGTATAATGAGGGGCATGACATCAAACCTTAAAAATTCATCAAGTTTGTGAAGGTTATGATGAAAATGAATCAGTACTTGATAACAATAAAGGAAAAATTCATTTAAATTTAAATGGGTCCATGAATTTAAGTAATGATGAGAATTCTTGAAGTCTCTCAATTTGAATTTTATCTGAAGTTTAGAGTCTAGACATTACACTTTCAATGACCCCAGAGCAACGTTGTACAATAAACTTTCTTTGAAGCTATGATCTGTAGGGTGAGATTTCTCCCAATATCATAATTTTCATACTTTTTTCTGCCTGTCCGCCGAGAAGAGAGGAGGGGAGCAAGGATGCTCATTTTTGTTGAAAGATGTTATATAGCACTGCTGATTTAAAAAAAAAAATAAAACAAAAAAAAACATAGATGTTATATAGCATTAGTACAAACACATAAGAGAGGAGCGGAGTGAGCATGCTCATATTTGTTGATAGATGTTATATAGTACTGCCAAAAGATGTTATATATCACTTGTGCATATTTCATCGGGATCATCACTTGTGCAGCTTCATCACTCGAATTTTGTTGCAGTCCAAGCTGAATTATTTGTCATCTAGTGTATACTGGTTACTACCTTTCTTCCATATTCATGTTATTTGATTTCATGAACATCTACGACTCCATTTCAGATCTTCCGGCAGAACAGAAGTTGCAGTATCATTCGCTTGTGATTTTATTTCTTCTGGTTCAATCTCACAGTCAATGTCTTACACTGCATCTACATCTTTACGGGTGGTACCTGATCTTCCTCTTGCACTTGGAGCACCAATGACCTGGATCCTTCCTCCTCATTACACTTCATCAAATCTTTTGCCTTCATCTTTGAGTTCATACAGCCAATACGATGCTCAGAGTCACAAAGGAACAATATCTTATTCTTTGTTGAGACAATATGGTGGAAAGAACGAAGAGGTGCAGAAAGATGCTATATCAATAGATGGGGATAGAATAAGAACGATGGAGGGTAATAATCTTGCATGCATTCAGGCAGAAGATAGGTCAACTGGAAGACTTGAAGTTGCATCTTGCATTAGGGTTGCGGAGGTATAAACATGTCATGTTATTCATGTATTGCTATGATATTGCATATGTGTTGAACATTAACTATTTTCTTATATTAGACCTGTCTACAAAGATTTGTCCTTCCAACACTTCAAATTTTAAACTTATTTAGTGGTTTATCTGAGGATAAAATCTGACTTTCAATGTTTGTCACTAACATTCTTCTATGAAGGGGGTTCTTATTTAAGAAATACAGGATCATTTTAGTTAAAATTTTTCGCAAGGCTACTATCATATGATATGACCTTGTAAGCCTAAAACTGCATCATAATTTTTTTTTTTTATATATATATTTTTTATGTTATATTGGATCTGAATAGCTATTGGAGATAGCATATGGTTAAGAAATGTTGGTCCAATATAAAATTGTCAGGTCCACTCTATTGAAGTTGGGCTGGTAAAATCAATTAGTTTCATCTACAGATACAATTTGATTGGCAAGTTGGAGATCTGATCAATAATTATGAACTGGTTGTCTATGGTATCTCAGTAAAGAAAGGAGGGCAACCAGTCATAAAAATATGGCTTTGGTTTCTCAAATATACAGATACATTGCAGAATGAAATGAAGTTTAGGCAGACAACATAGGAGGGTTGTATTGGTTCTTTATCACGTGACACGTCACACATGGAATCAAGAAAATTTAGACTTGTTTGGTGGCTTGTCTGAAACTAGTTATTTGTAGTATTTATGTGTAGTTATCTGGATCTGGACTGATCCTTGTGCTTTTACATGTTTACCTTTTTGACATCTGCATATATATTTTTGACACTTTTTCAATGCTTTAATAATAACTTACTAATGCACCTTTTAAAAAAAAAAAAAAAAAAAAAACTTACTAATGCACTGGTGTGCTTTATTTTGTGATTAAGGTGTCTCAAATAAGAATAACCACCAAGGACGTTCACAGAATTGATCTTGCTGTTGGTGCTGAACTTGATCTTCCAATAAGCTATTACGATATCCTAGGTAATTAGCTTTTATTAATGTGATTTATCAATTATTAGTCTGCACATTCATGGTGGCATCTGATAGACTGATGCTGTATTCTCATCAATTTGCTATCAAACAGGAATCCCTTTCCATGAGGCTCATAATGCTATTCTCTTTAATGCTGAGACTAACTATCCTGATATTGTCTCCATTAATGTCACTAGTGATGGCAATGGGAATATCCAACTTAAGGTTTGTTGATGTCTATTGTTTTTATGTTTCTGTTTGGTCAGAGTATTTTCATGTGGACACTCCCATCTTCTGCACATCAATATATTGCACCTACATAGTCTTGGCTATGTTTCTAACCATCTTTTGCCTGGCCATACCATAACTCTCACTCCTGCATTCTTATTCCTGATTGAAGGCCAGCTCTTGTGCAAGTATCATTCAACAGTAATCTGCAGAAGTCGGACTACATTATGGTAACGGCCGATCCTCTTCAAATCCTGGAAATATGTGCCTTTAAAAGCAGATATTCCTTTCTTTCATAGGATATTAGAGTGTTGAAATTGTACAAGAAAACTGCAGGGAAATGTTTACTTTGCATGATTATGTCGTGAAAATAGTTTACCTTTATAAACTGCAATAATTCTAGGATTTATTCAAAACACTAGTCCAGTCATTTTTACTTGAAAACCCTTTTCTCTTTGTAGCATTTTTCTTCACTCACCATACACATGCGCACACATGTATGCACCCATACATGCATTTGACTTTTTTGATTGTTTGCAGACACCTGCATAGTGGTGCAAGATTAGCACCAGACACTAGATGTCTAGAACTGGGATATTGTTGAGGACAATACAGTTGAATGTGTAAGGAGAGGCTTCCGTTTGTGCTAGATGACACAAGCAGCAAGCGATAGAGGTTTGGAATTTTGTAAGTGAGTGCTGACGCCAGATCTAATGGCTGATATAGTTATTTGCTGCAATTATAAATTAAAACCTTCTAAGAAATTTATTTTTGAATCACTCAGTTCTCTGTTTCTGAGATTGTTTTGCATGGATAATTTTTGTTTGGGCTGCATGTGAGCTTATTGATGATTTTCTCTCTGTTCCAATGAGTTCAGTGGGTTCATAATAATTCTAGATTATGTTTAAATAAGTCCTCAATTTTTTTTATTTTTTTTATTCTGCTTTCAGTGCAAGCCTTTTCTGGTATTTTTTATGTAGTTCTCTTTGCAATTTAAAATCACTGTTAAATTGTGAATTTCTTCAGATTTCAGTTGGTTCTCATTTATACCCTCAGAATTTTTTTTTGAATAACAACAAAATTTTATTAAAACGGGAAAGAGGGAGAGGACAAGAAGTCCTCATACAAGGAAAGAAAAAAGAGAAGAAAAAGCAAAATCAATCGCAAAACTCAAAACTCTAAGAATGGCAAACAGCAGCCCAATCCCTAGAGATCAAAAATAAAGGGACTCCTTTAAAAGGAGGAGATACAAATGCCCAAAAAGAAGTCAAATATTCAGCCCTATCCCACAAAGCCTCTACGCTTACTTCCTTGTCTTCAAAAATTTGAACATTTCTCTCCAACCATATAACCCAGAAAATAGCAAAAACAATACCTTGTTAGAATTTACCATCACCTACCACCAATTTACCATCACCTACCACCACCTACTCCTCACCTACTACACTCACCCTCTCCTATATAATGAGCCACTCACCATTTGTAATATATATCAATCAAACATCAATCAATAATACATACAAGTCATTCTCTCTATCAATTTATTTTTACATGGTATCAGAGCAAGGTTAAGAATTTAGTATTTTTTCGCGTCACCGGCGGGCGGCAAACTCGCCTTAGCCGCTCGCCGGACCTCAATCTAGTCCACTAGAATTTTCTACACATACCTTGAAATTTCTTCCAGTCCACCACCTTCAATAAACCCAATTGGCTCTATCAAAAGACACAGATGGCATAAACACACACACAATGGAAAGGGAAAAGTATTGTTACAGGGATGTGCTGCCATTTACAGCAATGGTGACGATGGAGTGCATCAACGTCGGTCTCAACACCTTATTCAAAGCAGCCACCGTCCATGGCATGAGCCGTCACGTCTTTGTCGTCTACGCTTATGCTGTCGCTGCTCTTGTCCTCCTCCCTTCCCCTTTCTTCTCTCGCAGATCAACAGAGCTGCCTCCTCTCAACTCCTCCATCGCATGTAAAATCTTCCTTCTCGGGCTGATCGGGTGTACGTCTCAGATATTGGGATATACAGGGATCAATTACAGCTCTCCCACACTTGCTTCAGCCATCAGCAACCTCGTCCCTGCTTTCACTTTTATACTTGCCCTCATTTTCAGGATGGAAAAGCTAGCACTGAGAAGCTCGCGCAGTCAAGCTAAAATCATAGGCACCGTAGTATCACTTTCAGGAGCATTTTTAGTAACTCTCTACAAAGGCACACCTATTGTGTTGAATCCATCACCTGCAGGTATGAGCATGCCTATTGCACATGTGGAAGAAAGTTGGCAAATGGCTGAATTCTACATCAACAAGATTCTTGTAGAGTACAAAAATAAAGACCTGAATCACATGGCTTCTTCCCCCTCCATCTCGTCGGCAGACCTATGCACATGGGCACACACTCAACACACTGCCCCATACACACACATGACATCCCACTCTCTCTCTCATCTTTTCACACTTTCAAACCCACTTTAATCATATCTCTCATTTCTCTTAACTCTAAGAATGGCAAACAGCAGCCCAATCCCTAGAGATCAAAAACAAAGGGACTCCTTTAAAAGGAGGAGATACAAATGCCCAAAAAGAAGTCAAATATTTAGCCCTATCCCACAAAGCCTCTACGCTTACTTCCTAGTCTTCAAAAATTTGAACATTTCTCTCCAACCATATAACCCAGAAAATAGCAAAAACAATACCTAACCACATTGTTTTGGCTTTCTTGGTATTCCCAAACCCGTCAAACCGAATAAGAAGCATATGCATACACTCCTGTGGAGCAACCCACTGCACATCACATAATTTGAAAAGACGTTGCCATAATACTGTAGCCACCGGGCAATGAAGAAAAAGATGATCAGCTACCTCCAAATTACTCTTGCACATCACACACCATTGGGGGCATAGAGAGTGATTAGGCCTTCTCCTCTGAAGAACATCATTAGTTGTAACACCCTTTTGAGCAAAAGACCACATGAAAAACTTCACTTTATGAGGGACACTCGCTTTCCAAAGAATCTTATGAAAAGGGAATAAGGGAACCGAGGGATTATCAATAATCTTATCAAAAAAGGATTTGCATGAAAAGACTCCAGAAGAGACAAGATTCCACACCCTACTATCGGAAGATGAAGAAAGAGAAACCCCCTCGAGCACAACCAACAAAGAAACCAATTCCTCCGCCTCCCTATCATTCAAGTTTCTAATGAGATCAAAATTCCAGGATGTGGGTGCCATAGACGAGCAAGCCACCGACGCTATAGACACATTCGGAGAACGAGCCAACTAGTAAAGAGGGGGAAAAAAACTAGCAAACGAAACATCCCCTAACCAAATATAGATAAAGATCACACTTTTTTGGTGTGATGTATGTTTTTTAATCACACCTTTTAAGTTTTATTAAAGTGTGGTCTTTAGGAGTGTGATTAAAAATGATCATTTTTAATCACACTTTACTTTTTTATATAAAATAAAATTAAAAAAAAACATATATGGTATGTATAACATTTTCCTCATAATTTTACACCTAAAAGCATTGAAATGAGGATCTAAATGATGGTTAATTATATATAAAACCATAATTGAGAATTTCAAAAGATATCAATAACAAGATATTGAGAAAGATGTCGAATTTGATCTAACTGAATTTATTGAACCAACCAATAACAATCCTACATGACATGGGTAAACCCATAAAGGTTACAGCCCACTATAAACAACCCAAGCCCATCACTTAGGCCCCAATACATAATTCAACTAATGAGGCCCAACATGGCTGAAACTCAACATGGCATTAAGAACCAATAGCACTCAGACACGTGGCAGGTGAAGGACAAGCCACATAAGCAGACAAAGATCCTACAAAGTTATTACACTGTACATCAGCTATTAATGAAGCCCCTTACAACATTTATTGTGATAAGCCCTCCCCGTCAAGACAGAACGACCTCACCATGAGCAAGGCAAGCTAGAGCATAGACTTTCGGCCAAGATGGCAGGTCGGAAGGGACAACGAAATGATTACCAAAAGATATAAGCGAACGTCGAAGACAAGAAGAAGGTTAAGCTTTCTATCTCTAATCTATTTCTATGCTCCACTTCTCTTTCTAACTTGTTCGTCGGAGGGTTCAGTGGGAGACTCTCCGTTCCCCGTTGAACTCTTGTGCAGGTCCTCTGGTGAGCTTGGTCATTCGGACACTGGTTTGAGAAGCGTAGATCAGTCCGACCCATTCCACCTGGAATACGCTGTATCATTAGTTGGCGTCGTCTGTGGGAACTGCTTTTGTTCCGCCCACCAGTTGTGCTCATTGTCGCCGGAGACCCTTTCCCAATAACCCCTTCCTACCACCTGCGAAGGTGGATGGTCACAACTAGATCCATGGCTTCTTACCCCAATGTTGCCGATCATCAAGCCAACCCTCTCAATCCAAATAACCCACCACAATATTTTACCGAGATCACCAACAGCATTAACCACCTGGCCAAGCAAAACCAAGCTTTGATTAATGCTCAACTCCAAAGAAACCTTCTCATGCCTCCTCCACCACCTCCAGATATTCCACCCAACTAAGAACGAGTCCCGAGCCATACTATCCAGCAGCCCTATCCACCCAACTTGGAAGGCTTGCAACCCCCTCCCCCAAGTCTAAACCTACCACCCCGGGGCCCGCATCCATCGGTCCCAGCACCAACCCCCAAAGGAGAAGCCAGTAGCATCCAGCCCCCGCTGTCCTCTGGTGGTGACAACATTCCTCTCTAGGATGCAGAACTCTGAGCCATGAACCTCCAACTCCAAGGAGTCATGCGGAACATACAGCATAAACCATCTACCACAGCCAACTCCCCATTCGTTGCCTCCATCAGGGACAAACCTCTACCCCCCAAGTTTAAAATGCCTGCGATCGACTCTTTCGACGGCATTTCGGACCCAGTCGACCACTTGGAGACCTATCGAACCCTCATGATCCTTCATGCATTTCCTGATGAAATCATGTGTCGGGCTTTCCCTGTAACACTCAAGGGGTCGACTCGATTTTAGTTTAGTCAACTGCCAGCAGACTCTGTCTCCACTTTCCAGCACCTCAGTGACTCCTTCCTCAGCCATTTCATTAGAGCCCAGCGCCAGCGACGTTCGGCGACCCAACTCCTCAATATCCGTCAGACCGAGGGGGAGTCGCTGCGCAGTTTCGTTACCCTCTTCAACACCGAAGCCTTGCAGGTAGCGGAAAACGATGACATGGTCATCCTTACGGCTTTCATGGCCGGTCTACTGTCATCTGACTTCATTTTCTCCCTTTCCAAAAACCCCCCGACCTCCGTGGCAACCCTAGTTTCCAAAGCCCAAAAACACATTAACGCCGAAGATTCCCTAGCTGCTCGCCAAGACCCTACAGCCAAAAACCTGACCCCTAGAGAGAAGAAAAATGACTCAGAAACCGGAAACACCCAGTACAATAACCAAACACCTCAATATACCGATCGACCCCTCCGAGCCGACCGGTCGGCACCAACTCGACCGCCCGGCAGGTTCAAACGATACACCCCCCTCAATTCCTCCATGGAACAAGTCCTCAACCAGATCCAGCGAGACTACCCCCTAAAGTGGCCCCAACCGTCACGGTCTCCTTCCAATCGGCGAGCCTAGTCCAAATACTGCCATTTTCACCAGGACCACGGCCATAATACTGAGGAGTGTGTTAACCTCAAAGATCAAGTCAAGGGCTTGAAACGTTAGGGACGTCTCAGTCGATTCACGGAAACTCGCTCTCAGCAGAGGCAAAGAACTGAACCCATCAAGAACAACCGCCGGCGCACCCCTCCCCAGCAACCGGCACAATCTAACCAAGGCCATGATCGCCCTCCACAGCAACCTCGGGCACAAGGTAACTCCGCCCCCCCTATTGGAGAAATCAGAGTTATTTCCGGCAGACTTGCTTGTGGAGGACTGTCTCACTCGGCTCAGCGAGCAGAACTCAGAAAAATAAAGCAGGGTTAGGACAAAGAAGTTGTCACATTGGACCGACCCTCCAAACAGCCCAAGTAGTGGACGGAGCCTATCACCTTTACGGATGCCGATTGCACAGGCATCCGTTACCCCCATGACGGCCCTCTCGTCATTTTTGCCCTCCTCTCCAATTACAAGGTCAGACGGGTTCTCGTCGACAACAGCTGTTCTTCAGACATCATCTTCCTAAATTGTTTCCGCCAGCTCAAGATCGGGGAAGAAAGTCTGTCCCCTCTCCAAACCCCATTAGTCGGTTTCACTGGAGATCGAGTGACCTCCATCGGTTCCATCGATCTTCCCATCACAATCGTGGAATACCCACGGCAGATCACAAAGTTACTCACCTTCCTCGTCGTCGACTGTCCCTCTGCCTACAACATCATCCTCAGACGCACTACCCTAAATGCTTTCCAAGCTATCACATCCACTTTCCATCTTGCCGTCAAATTCCCCTCTGACCTGGGAGTCGGCACAGTAAGAGGAGAACAGACCGTGGCCAGGGAATGTTACGTCGCCTCACTTAAAGAGGTCAAGCTAAAGGAGACTATGATCATTGAAGGGCTCGACGTCAGAGATGAGGACGAGCTAGTCAGAGGGGAACTAGTGGAAGAGCTTGTTGAGGTCCCCATCGACCCCACCAACCCGACAAAAATTGTTAAAATCGACAGCCAATTATCCTCCCAAGCAAAGGCCGACCTTACTGCCCTCCTAATTGAGCACAACGACGTATTTGCCTAGACCCACTCAGACATGCGGGTATTGACCCCTCCTTCATAACCCACCGTCTCAGCATTGAGCCCCACTTCCGACCCTTCCGTCAGAAGTAGCGCATCTTTCACCTGGAGTGCAACACTCTTATCGCCTTCGAAGTAGATAAGCTCCTTGAGGCACAGTTTATCAAAAATGTGGACTACCCCAGATGGCTGTCCAATGTGGTCTTGGTTCGTAAAAATAACGGTAAATGGCGACTCTGTGTTGACTACTCAGACCTTAACCGAGCATGCCCGAAAGACAGTTATCCCCTTCCTCGCATAGATCTGCTCATTGACGCCACGGCCAGCCATCAAATGCTCAGATTCATGGACGCCTTCTCTGGATACAACCAATTCTGATGCACCCGTCTAACCTGGAGCACACGTCCTTTATCACCGATCGAAGGACCTACCATTATTGTGTCATGCCGTTTGGCTTGAAAAATGCTGGGGCCACTTACCAACGGTTGGTCAACGCCGTCTTTCATCACCAGATAGGCCGGAACATGGAAGTATACGTCAACGACATGCTAGTCAAAAGCAAGCTCTCCGCTGATCATCTGGCCAATCTGCGAGAGACCTTCGGCACCTTACGAAAGGATCAAATGAAACTCAATCCGGAGAAATGCGCCTTCGGCGTAGGATTTGGGAAATTCTTGGGTTTTATGGTCAGTCAGCGAGGCATCGAAGCTAACCTCGAAAAGATCAAGGCCTTGATAGAAATGCAGTCGCCCAGAATG